CACTAAAGGCTCGCTACAGTATGGTACTCGAAATATGTTTCTAAAATAATTTTTGGAATATTTTTTTTAAGTAAAATCTCTAATTTAAAAGAAAATCTCAAAAGCACAGTTTATATCCAATGTAAGCAATGGCCCCTAAGAAGAAGTGAAACTACCTTTCAATTATTGTATCATGCAGTTAAATGATCAATGAAGTCAAAAGGAACGAAATAACTTATGCCACATTCAAAACAAACGGCACTAAGTTTCAAAAGAATTGGCTTACAAATTAAGCACAGTGGATGTACACTCAATCTCCCCTATTTTTCTACCCTTAAAAATTTACGGATCGACTCCAGAACTTCCTTCTGTTTTCATCGGTTAAATTATGGAAGAGTTAGTAATTTTGTTAAAATTCTTAATAAAGAAAAAACAGTTAATTTTGATCTTTTGTCCATTTCTGCCCAAAAATAAGTCCGGGAAGCTTTGTGCAGGAATAAAAGGATGATCCAACACTTCGCAATTTCCGTACTAGTACCTAGTACCTAGTTTCGTAGTTCTAGCTCCCGAGGGGTCTTTTATACAAAGCTCGCAAGAAAACAAAATAAGCTAGGGTTTAAAGTCGCCGGGCATTTTACAAGCTTTTATTTATATATACTGATAGTGTAACTTACATTTCAAGAAAATTTAAACATTTAAAAAGCCATGAAAGCCCTTGCCTATTATAGTGATATACGAATATACTCGTATATTTTTAGTACCTACTGGTGTTAATCTGTGAATTTATTGCTGTGTTCACTGCTGACGAGGCAGCTTGTTGTATATGTTGATTTCTCATGAATTCTGTAGCGAACTCTTGCTGCGCCTTGGCCATACTGGCTCCAGTACTACGGTAAATTGTGTGAATCTATGGTATAAAAGAGAACCGTAAATGAAATATGCATACGACAAGTTGTTTAGTTCTTATGTATCATAAATCTCTTAATTATTAATAACCGCTTAAGTCGTCTTAAGCCACCGACTTTCGCAGTCATTGCTTTCGAGCCTAGCTATTAGGATATTAAAGTGTACCTTAGTTATCATCATTATATTTGCAGCGGCGGTCGTTGCAAAACAAAAAGCTATGCAAAGCAAAAGTAATCCGACAATGATGCCAGTTGCCGAAGAATCAAACTGCGAGATAGCAACAATAAATCCGCAATATCCTGTACCAGGAACACCAACGGCTTGAAAAACCGTAAGCACAGTTTGGAAAAAGTACACAAAGAAAAATACCATGAAGTTAAAACTGGAATCATTTCGAAAAGCTTTATAAGCCGGTCGAAACCTATAAAAAAAAAGTTATAAGGACCTTTCTAAGTTAATTTTATCTAGTTAATTTACTTACCAGCAAATATATGATGCGGGTGTTGAAAGCATGGCGTAAAACAAAGCTAAGCCAAATGTAGTAAATCCTCCATCATGCAATAAAAGTATTAGCCCACCGACTATATTTACTACCATTGTCATGGTGTAAACTGAAAATATAGCAATTACAAATGAGTCAGTTATTTAAATAAATACTACGATGCATCACCAAAAAAAGGTTCTTATATATAAAAATGAACGTCCGTTTGGGTAAGGTTTATGGAATCAACTATGCCCTAAAGCAAATTAGTATAAATTATTGAAATGATAAGTTCGGTATCATGTCATGAAGGTTCAGAGCATATGTACGAAGAGTTACCGATAGACAACGCTGTGCCCTAATCAGCTTTTCATCTACTATATTCTTATATATACATATATAAACCGGCCGAACCGATTTGAATAATTTTTTTTAATTGTTGTGTATAATACCGGGATCATTTATCACACAAAAATTTGGAGAGTTGCCACCTGTTTGAAAATTTAAACTCAATTACACTGATAAAAAATGAAATATTGCAATGAGGGTATCAAATTAAAGAAGTTTCAAGAGATATTTTTGAAAACTTTAACTAAGTTAAATTGATAAAATAACTGAAATACGTATTGTAATGCGGGTATCAAACTCGAGAGTCTTCGATTTCGATTTATTCAGTCTATGACATGGTATATCTTACAAACTAGAGGTAAATTTTCTTAAATCTAATGTATACGCAGATGAAACCCCTTTATGGGAAAATTAAAACTAACGATACAGATCATCTATGGCTGACTTAAAAACAGATCTTTGTTATGAAAAATCAATATTTAATTTTTTTGAGATTGTATTATACTCTAAAAGCGCTCTGAATATTGGCGCATGAGAGGACAGCGGCTCTTCAAATTTTATCGATTGAAGTGCAAAGCGAATGAACTTCCGTTGCACCCTTTCAATTCTAGTAGCATGGCAATTATAAATCGGATTCCATATAAGAGCGGCATACACAAGTTTTGAACGAACCAAAGTATTGTAGAGAAGTTTCCGGGTATACAGATCCTTGAAATCCTTTGAGTAGCGGCGCAGAAAAGCAAGGTTACTGTAAACCTTAGGAAGGACATAACATATATGATTTCTGAAATAAACCGATTATCGAATACAACTCCAAGATCAACAAAATCTTTAATTGAAATAAGTTGGTGGTTAAAAATAGTATAGCGCGATTGCCGAAACTCCGGAGCTTTAGAGATAGACATATGAAAACATTTGTCAATATTAAGTGAAAGTTTATTCCTGCGACTCCATTCGACAAGATTATTTAAGTCCTGTTGTAGGAGATGAGAATCAGTCTCACCGGTAATACTACGAAAAAACTTCAAATCATCAGCATAAAGTAAAAAATTCGAGTTTTTAAAACAGGAACCAATGTCATTTATGAAGAGAATAAATAAAATTGGGCCAAGAATGCTTCCTTGTGGGACACCCGAGGACACAACAAAAGAAAACGACTTACAATTTTCAAATTCAACAAACAACAATCGGTTCGAGAGATAAGATTTTAGCCAAGCCAAAAAAACAGAGTGGAAACCGATACATTCGAGTTTATGCAATAAAATTGCATGCGATACTCTATCAAAGGCTTTCGAGAAATCTGTATAAATGGTGTCTATTTGAAAACCACATTTGAATGCAGAGATACAGTATTGAGAGAAAACGGCTAAGTTACTGACAGTAGAACGCCCATTGACAAACCCATGTTGGTGCGGCTCTAAAATAGATTTTATGCGAACGTAATTTTTTCTTTAACAACCTGTTCGCAAAGCTTTGAAAAGACTGTTAATTTATATATTGGTCTATAATTCCTTATATCATTCCTACTGCCTGATTTAAAAATAGGGGTAATGGACGCGACCTTCCAACGATCTATACACACCAGTAGAAAGCGATAGATTAATGATGAAACGTAAAGGCGCACAAATAGAAAATTTACATTGCTTTAGAAAATAAGAGCAAAAACCATCAATATCAACTTTCAAAGAAGTCTTTAGGGCAGTTATACCATTCAGAACATCTATTTCAGAGACAGACAAATATCCAAAGTCCAATGATTGGGTAGAGCAGACGGGCGTACAAATAGGGTCATCATCAGCTATAAAATTAGACTTGAAAAAATCTGCAAAAAAGTTTACAGACTCAGACAGTGATTGTGAACAAGATCCATTGAAATTCATGCATGTTGGAATATAGGTACAACCTTTTTTGGAACGAACGTATTTCCAAAAAGCTTTACGGTTGTCTTTANGCATCTATTTCAGAGACAGCCAAATATCCAAAGTCCAATGATTGGGTAGAGTAGACGGGCGTACAAATAGGGTCATCATCAGCTACAAAATTAGACTTGAAAAAATCTGAAAAAAAAGTTTACAGACTCAGACAGTGATTGTAAACACAATCCATTGAAATTCATGCATGTTGGAATATTGGTACAACCTTTTTTGGAACGAACGTATTTCCAAAAAGCTATGGGGTTGTCTTTAAGTTCAGTTTCAAATCTACAAATGTATTGCTTGTATAAAAACTTATCGAGAACATTGAACTGATTCATATAATAAATGTATTTTTCTTTTAAAACTAAATTATTACTTTGAGCTTTAAATAATTTATAGTACTAGTTTCTTTGATTTTTTAACTTTTTAAGGTTTTTGTTATACCATGGTAATTTATGAATAGGAGGTGAGAGAACTGAAAGGTTCTTCGAAAAGACATCGTGAATTTCTCATATAAAACTTTCAAAACAATCAGCTAAATCACTGGTGTTAAGAACGGAGTCCCAATTTATATTGGTTATGGCAGCGTTTAACCTTTCATAGTTAGCATTACGAAAGTTATAAGAAATGCATTTTTCATTACCATAAGCAACAACGCTATAAAATTCCAACTTTAAGAGGCACATGATGTTTATCTGTTTTACTTATTGGAAAAGCGCATTCAAATAAATTAAATATTATGTTAACAAATACAAGATCCAATATTTTACCTAACTTATTAAATAAGGTATTAATTTGGATAAGGTTAAGACTAAGAAGGCTATCCATAAAGTACATTTCATGAGATCTATTAACATTAGTTGGTGTCAAGATACCATTAAATTGTAGGTCAGACCATACGAGATCGCTAAGATTGAAATCACCAAGAATGCAAAAATTACAATCTTCATTTTTTTCACANCATTTCATGAGATCTATTAACATTAGTTGGTGTCAAGATACCATTAAATTGTAGGTCAGACCATACGAGATCGCTAAGATTGAAATCACCAAGAATGCAAATATTACAATCTTCATTTTTTTCACAAAGATTAACAATATTTTCAGATACGCATATAAATAGTTTACGAAAACTACTAAGAATGCAGACACAAAGCTGATCAAGAAGAGTATCATTATTTGATAACTGTTGTATTGAAGATCGTAAACCGCTCTTCACAGCGATCAAAACACCCACACCCGTATAAGGATTATCATCGGGCAGCACAGCAGATAACTGAGTACATGGACTAGCAGCAATCATCGGAGTTGACGNCAAAACTAAATTATTACTTTGAGCTTTAAATAATTTATAGTACTAGTTTCTTTGATTTTTTAACTTTTTAAGGTTTTTGTTATACCATGGTAATTTATGAATAGGAGGTGAGAGAACTGAAAGGTTCTTCGAAAAGACATCGTGAATTTCGCATATAAAACTTTCAAAACAATCAGCTAAATCACTGGTGTTAAGAACGGAGTCCCAATTTATATTGGTTATGGCAGCGTTTAACCTTTCATAGTTAGCATTACGAAAGTTATAAGAAATGCATTTTTCATTACCATAAGCAACAACGCTATAAAATTCCAACTTTAAGAGGCACATGATGTTTATCTGTTTTACTTATTGGAAAAGCGCATTCAAATAAATTAAATATTATGTTAACAAATACAAGATCCAATATTTTACCTAACTTATTAAATAAGGTATTAATTTGGATAAGGTTAAGACTAAGAAGGCTATCCATAAAGTACATTTCATGAGATCTATTAACATTAGTTGGTGTCAAGATACCATTAAATTGTAGGTCAGACCATACGAGATCGCTAAGATTGAAATCACCAAGAATGCAAATATTACAATCTTCATTTTTTTCACAAAGATTAACAATATTTTCAGATACGCATATAAATAGTTTACGAAAACTACTAAGAATGCAGACACAAAGCTGATCAAGAAGAGTATCATTATTTGATAACTGTTGTATTGAAGATCGTAAACCGCTCTTCACAGCGATCAAAACACCCACACCCGTATAAGGATTATCATCGGGCAGCACAGCAGATAACTGAGTACATGGACTAGCAGCAATCATCGGAGTTGACGTCGCAGTCACTACATTAGTGACAGTAGCAGACGAGGGAGAGTGCAACATTGATGGGCAAATTTGAGCGGGCAGCAAAGAAGATAACTGAGTGCCAGTAGCAGTGACATGGGAAGATAGCGTCGACGCTGCGTCCGCCGCAGTAGCAGAGCGAGGCGGCTGTTTAGCACTTCCCCACGCCAGCGGTAGTGTAGCTATATGATTTTACTTGTTTGTTTTCGTTAATTTCTGAATTAGCAGAGCGAGGCGGCTGTTTAGCACTTCCCCACGCCAGCGGTAGTGTAGCTATATGATTTTACTTGTTTGTTTTCGTTAATTTCTGAATTAGCAGAGCGAGGCGGTAATTTAGCACTCCCCATGCCAGTGACAGAGTCACTATACGAATTATATGAATTATGAGCAGCAGCAGCGAGCGAAGCAATAGCACCACCAGACAAGGAGCATGAAGATGACGATTTTACTTGTTTGTTTTTGTTAATTTCCGAAATTGCAGAGCGAGGCAGTAGTTTAGCACTCCCCGCGCCGGTGACTGAGACTGAATTATGAGTAGCAGCAGCCGAAGCAATAGCACCAGCAGACAAAGAGCATGAAGATGGCGATTTTACTTGTTTGTTTACGTCAATTTCCGAATTTGAATTTTGAGCAAGGCAGCTAATAACAACACGATGCAAACCTTTGATTTCCGATAGCAGGAGAGACAATGTAGCATCTTTAGCATCAAGTTTAGTGTGCAGTTCACGAATCTCCGCTTGAAGAGTGTCATACTTTTGCAATAAACACTTATTTTCTTCATGAAGCACACTGACAGCAGACAAAAGGCGAGCATTATCCGCTTTAATTTCTTCGGCCACAGTAGATAACCTTTGTTGTTTAACTACATTTCCATCAGCGTTTTTATTTTGGCGCTCGTCACTCATATCCACAACCGCAGGTGGTGGAGGAGAACGAATTGACTTACGGCACACATCCAAACAAACATTACAAAAAAACGGCTTATCTATGCTCAGCAAATAGTCAAGATCAGCCTGTTGAATGCCGACGCATTTGAGATGAAAAAACTCTATGCACTTAGAGCACTGCACTTTAGATTCAGGGCGCTCAACCTTCTGCCCACAAACACAAGGCATATTAAATGGATTTACAAAAATTTATTCACTTAAATAAATCCAATTTTAATAAAAGAGTCACTGTCTCAGATTGTTCAATATGCACCATGCCAATGATTAGCAAATAAATAACTAGGTATATGATTTTAATCAAAGAAAATTGGAGAGCGAATAGAAACACGACTGCTCGGCGCGAACACTTTTCGATTGCCTACAGTCAAAAAGATTTTCGAAGAGGGTTCCTACTTGGTTGATCAAATAAATTAAATATTACAATGTGGGTATCAAATTACAGAAGTTTAAGAAATATGCATAACTGTTGGAGGCAGTTTTTGAGGAGTGTTGCCACCTATTTGAAATGTTAACTCAATTAAATTAATAAAATAAATGAAATGTTGCAATGCGGGTATTAAACTAACAATTTTTAAAAATGCGTAGTAAAATATTTTCGAAGAAGGTTCCCACCTGTTTGAAAATGTAACTCAATTAAATTGATAAAATAAATTAAATATTACAGTATGGGTACCAAACAAACGGTATTTGAGAAATCTTGATTTGGAAATATTTTCATTATTATTATTTAGGTGATAATCCATCTATCTTAAAGTAAAGACTGAAAGTATTGAAATTAAATGAAATAGTACATAATTGGTACCAATCTAAAGGTGTTTGGCAAAGCCTTCCCAGCAAAAAATGGGTAATCGCTTTTAGTGGTAACGTGTTCTAGAAGGCATAGCGTTATAATGCCTTCGAATTTTTTCGCTTCTTTTATGCATTGCAAAGTAGAATGTCCTACAATATTTTATTTATTTCGCTTCTTTGTTTCATTTCGGGGAATGCAAAGTAGAATGTCCTATAATATTTCCTTTTTAATTCGTTTCTTTGCTTCATTTCCGGGAAAGCAAAGTATAATGTCCTACAATATTTTATTTGTTTCGCTTCTTTACTTCATTTCAGGGAATGCAAAGTAGAATGTCCTCCAACATTTTATTTGTTTCGCTTCTTTGCTTCATTTCAGGGAATGCAAAGTAGAATGTCCTACAATATTTTATTTGTTTCGCTTCTTTGCTTCATTTCCGGGAATGCAAAGTAGAATGCTGCATCGTAGTCAGCTGAAAAATAGAATGAATATCCAAAAGTTCTTTTTCTACCGTTGCTTTCTGTGGAAATTTGTCTCGCATAAAAATCATGTTTTGCTTTGTTCAATTTGCAGCGAAGTTGAAGTCAGTCGATGAAGTGAAGTACAAGAGTGAGGAAGTACAATTTTAAGCTTAATTAATAATGAATGTATGTACATACCGATTTTTAAGAAAATCTAAATACCTAAATACATGTTTGTATAAAAGCTGATTTATAAAAATTTTAATTAATTTTAATCTTTTAAGACATTTTCTGATTTAAATTTAATATAAATAAATATGTACCCATCTAGGCATTCTACATTAGTTTCTCTGTAAGGCATTCTTTGTTCGTTTCTCTGGATTCTGTTTATCCATGCGTTCTCCCTTCGTTTGAAGGTAATGCTGCGGGCAAGGGCTTACCTCCAATGACATGCCAATGTTAAAATAAGGCCTTCTTGAAGCGAAAGTTTAAGCGATTCCCATCGCCTAGCTCGTTTCTACTTTCGTTCCTGTGGTAATCGTGTTTTTTGCTGGGTTACTACAAAATTTTTCCTAAATGTTTCCACCTATCCAAAAGCCGAACAATTTAAATTAAGAAAAAGGAAGAGTCGATATACGAATTACACAATGGAAAAAATTATTTAACAAAAAACTACTCATATGCATGTAAAAAACAGTAAAAAGCGTTGTTCAAGTGAGTGACTACCGCACGCACCCCGCATTAACCATTCGTATTTATTGAAGTATCTAGACTTGAATTATTTCTATGAAATGTAACTTTTTTGAACTAATAATTAGCTCGCAACGGGAACACCCCTATCAGCCAACCGGGTAGTTGGCAACGCGTGAGCTACTCGCTCACTTGAACGATCACCAGCTGTCAAAACAACATATGTATACATACATATATATCTTCTCTTTGTCGAAAAACCACACGATTGAACTGTGGCACTTGTTTTGGTATTGTACTTAAAGTGAAATTTTTGTACCGCGAATTGAATTAAAAGCGTATAAATGTGCGTTCGTCATTTAAATTGAAAGCTGAAGTGTTTTTATTTTAACAAATCTCCCGGTCGCGCGATTTGCAGTGACAGAGTAGCATCATTTTGTTCCAGCAGCCGCCGGGTTTTTGCGCCACCGCCAGCAACTAGCCGACGCCGTTCAACCCCAACGGATAACCTTCAGCGCTGCCCAGCAAAGGCNGTTCGTTATTTTAATTTGAAAGCTGAAGTGTTTTTATTTTAACAAATCTCCCGGTCGCGCGATTTGCAGTGACAGAGTAGCATCATTTTGTTCCAGCAGCCGCCGGGTTTTTGCGCCACCGCCAGCAACTAGCCGACGCTGTTCAACCCCAATGGATAACCTTCAGCGCTGCCCAGCAAAGGCGAATCCATCGCCTCCGGTTGACCACCCCACCTAGCCTCAAATCCTAGAGATCCACCGTTCCGCTGCCCACAACTAACGCAGGCCCCCAAGCCCTGCGA